GGGGGGTGGGGGCACGGATGGGTCCGCGTCCGGGGGGCCGGGGGCCGGGCGGGTCGGGGTGCTGAGGCGGCGGGGTGGGGCAGGTGGCGCGGGGATGCTGAGGATGGAGGGATGGAGGAACTGGGGACCTGGACCCGACGCCTGTGGGGATGGAAGGAGGGGAGCGAGCGAGGGCTGCGGCGGCCCAGCCGGGAGACGAGGCCTCGGAGCTGGCAAGCACTGTGGGGGCGGGGAGCAGGTGGAGAGGAGGCTGCCGCGAGGACGGCCGGCCGGAGGGCATCCTCCTCTCCTCCCACTCGCCCTCGAGCGGGTCTCCGGGCGTGAGAGTTTCGGCCTCTCCGGGAAGGAAAGGCAGGGCAGGCCCGGTGTGCCCACCGTCCGACTCCCCCGCCCCCCCACACTCGGCTGCACCTGAGCATTATAGGCTGAGCGTGGCTGCTTGCGGATGCCCAGGTGATGCCCCTCACCTCCTCCAGCTGTGGCATTCTCCGCTGCATCCAGCTGTTGCATCCTCCCCTCCCCCATTCAGATGTGGCTTTCTCCCTTTCTCTCAGTCTCCTCTGGTCCTCCTGCCCCATTTCCCCAGCCCCGGCCCTTCATAATCTTCCCCCTTTTCTCCACATCTCCCTTGAATTCCTTGGCTTAAAAATAAAAAACAAGCAGGAATCCATTCTACAGAGTTGCGATAACCATGGCCTTGGTTGAGGGGAGAGAGATGAGGGGGCAGAGGCACCGTGGACAGTGGGAGGAAATAGTGGGGTAACCCACAGAATTGAGCTCCTTTGCCTGCGTTGGGTACGAGGCCTTCAAAAAGGAGGTCTGTCCTGTCCCAGCATGTCCACCACTTCCCTTCCAGCTCTTAGGGTGGACTCTGGTTCTGTGAGCTCAGCCTGAAGGTGAAGGTGAGCAGAAGGGATTTGGGGGGGAAGGGCCCCAGTGCGCCCTGGGCCTTCCTGCCACAGGCTGAGGTTCCTCTGGCCTGAGGACCTGTCCACACCTGTCTTATGCTCGCGGGTGGAGACAGGCCTCTGCTACGCAGCCATCCCTCACAGTAGCCACTGAGGTGAGGCGGGGAGGACCAACCGTTGACACCCCAACTCCTGCACACGTGAAAACAACAAATGATCGACCCAGAGAAGCAAGAACTTTCAGGAAGACAGTAGCTCAGGACGTCCTGCGTGTCCTTACAGCTGACCATGGCACGGCCCCCCGAAAAGCCAAGTGCCGTTCTTGGTCCTGCCTCTGGAGGTGGCCATGTGGCCATCAAGCTTTGCCAGGAAGAGGACCCTAAATTCTAGTACACTGCCCCCGAATGGCTAATGGCTGATCATGCAATTGTAGCTTTTCCTCCCTGGGTCTGGGAGAAGGTCAGGGCCTCTACCCGCTGGGAGCCCCTCTGGGCGGGGGACTGCGTTGCGATGACGCCAGCTGGGCACGCAGGGGCTTCATGCTTCGTGAGGGGCTGGGCACGGAGGTCGGGCTGGTGGCCTGGCGGAAGGACGGGGTCCTGGTGTGCCGGGAGCAGGAGGCGGGCAGCAGGCAGGCGCTGCTCAGGATCAGGACCCCGAGGAAGCGTCCTCCTCTGGGTTCGCCTTCCTCTGTCTTTGTTGTGCTCCCTCGTGTCTGTTCCCCTCCTTCCCACCTGCACCCTCCCCACTGCTCTCGCCTTGAAGGGGAAAAAGAAGGGAGGAACACATGTCTGAAACCTGCTACTACTTATTGTGCACTTAGCACAGGGCTGATGTTTGCGAGAAGCTTCCTGTGCGTCAGTACCAGGCTGGGAACTTTATCTGGATGATCGCAGTGAGGTTCCCAGCAGGACCGAGAGTTAGGGGGTGTTATCAGCATCTCTCCAGCAGAAACTTTAAAAAGTTCAGTAATCTGTTCAGAAGAGAAAAAATCAATGTGTGGCCAAGAACTCGGGGCTTTTTTTTTAAGGAACTTTAATTGCGGCGACCGACTTACAACAGGCTGTGAGCCCCAGGGGTACAGCGCTGACCCTCACACCTGTGACGCTGCGGCCTGCTCCTCCCCCAGCGCCCACTTGCGGCCGAGCACCTTACGACTGACGCCTTTACCCACTTCTCCTAGCCACCCCCAAAACTTAGTTGGAACCCAGGTCTGTCCACACCAGGGCCCGTGGCCTGACCCTCCTGCCGCTCGCTCGGTGACATAATGCCAGTGTCTGCATCCGAGGTTCCTTAGGAAGTCACTATGGAGTTGCCCGAAAGGTCAGGAGCAGAGAGGCAGGGCCCTGTCCACGCCTCGAATTCAGAGGCCACCACCCTCCTCCACGGTATCTTGTCCACGGTGTGCTGTTCCTGAGCCAAGTGACAGGAACGGGGGTAGGCACAGCTCTCCGTAGTTTTTACTGCATCTTTTTCAATTGAAGATACATTGTTTTCTTATTTCAAAAGGAGTTCAAAGGTGTCACACAAGTATTGTAAAATTTAGTTAAGCCACAAGAAGAAAATAAAAATAGCCACAGTCCCACCAGCCCACGAACTGCTACAGGCTGAGCTCCTAGGCCCTTCTCCGTTCCCAGTAGGGGGACGCTCATCTCCATGGTACATTGCTTCTCTCCCCCTAGACCCTAATGGGAAGGTAGGGCTCAGGGGTGATCCCAAGCCATGCTGGTCAGGGGTAACGGTGGGGTGCAGAGGCTAAGCCTTGCCCTCAGTCCAGTGGGTAGTGGAATTTGCAGAGGGAAGCCAGAGCTCTGGTAGAGGAATGACTGTTGCTGTGACCTGGTTGCACTGGAACCTGAAATTGAGACTTGTCCTTGGGAAGGAGGTCAGAGACCAAGTTTCCCCTTTTCTAGTCAGACAGAAGAGATGGCCCCTCCAGCATCCACAGAGACCCATGGTCCAGCCACCCAGCAAGACAGCAGAAGGCAGGGCCAGTGCTGGGCCCCCAGGCTCGCTTTCCCCACTGCCTGCTGGGGGCGCTGCAGGCTGGGAGAGGCTGCGTTCCAGAAACGAACAGGCCCAGAAGCCAGCTGCTGCTCTGCCCTCTGCCAGTGCAGTTGGCTCTTTGTCCTCAGAGCTGTCCCCCTTCCCTAAACAGCGCTGGTCGCCTCTCCCCACAGCCCTCTCCTGCCCACTCTGCCAGAGTAAGCGGGAACCGTGGCCAGGGGTCTCAGGGCTTGGCCTCTGTGAGGCAGGCTGCCTGGACTTAGGGTGATCTCCAGTTTTCCCCAGGCCCACAGGAGAGCACATGCCCTCCAGCTGAGAGCCTGCGGCCAGGGCCATGGGTCCTGGAAGAAGCATCACAAATGCAAGTCCAGGAGACACCACCATGGTGGGTGAGAGTCCTTGACCCTCCCAAGAGTCCAGCGAAGGCTTGGTGTCCTTTCCTGTAAAGACCTTCCTTCCCACGGGGGAGAAAGCAAACCTCCCCCCTCTGCCTCAGTTCTAGTGAGGTCCAGGGCGACGGCACGTGCCCACTGTGAGAGCCCAAGATTTAGAGCCTGGCCTCTCCCTGAGCCCAGTGGTCATGGCACTGAGATTCTACCCTGAGGAGGGAGCCAGAGAGAATTCAAATGCAGCCCTTGCCACCAGCAAGCCCCCCACCCCCCCAGCAGGAGGATGAGAGAGAACTTCCTGCCCCCGCGCCACCCCTGCAGCCCCCAGAAGGGGCACTCGGGCCTCCCCGGGGTGTCCAGAGAACAACTTCTGCTGGACGCTGTGAAGCCAAGGGCCTCCTCTGCCCCCTCACTCCAGCTAGAGCAGAGTTGTACCCAGAAAGTACAGCCAGCAAGTGTGGTTGACAGAATGGCTGTGGTCTGCACCCCCACCTGCCAAGTCCCTGCCCTTCCCCCATGCCCTGCATAATTGATGGCCAGGGAGACAGCTCCCCTCCCCCAGGATGACAAACGTCTGGGCCGGGGGCTCCTAGCCACCATAGCCCCCCAAACCCTGGCGCCAAGGCCTGCTGGGGCAGTGGGGCGCAGCTGGCGGGTCAGATGAAGGAGGGGCTGCTGGAAGAGAGGGGTCTCGGGTTGACTCGCCCCTGGGGACTTGACTGCCCCACTCACTCGGGTCAAGCCAGAGAGTGGCGGGGGACTGGGCTGCTCCCCGCGCGTCCCCGAGCGCCATCCCCGCTTCTGCAGCGCCTCCCGCTGCCCTGAAGGCAAACAGGTGAGCTGGCTTCTCGCCCTGGCTCTCCGCTGCCAGCCCTGGATACCCGGGCCCCTGGGGGCGGGGAGGCCGGCTGCCGCAGCCTCCCTGGGCATAGCGTCCTCCTTGCCAAGCAGCAGATGAAGGCTGAGAACTTCCTCCTCGAGGGCGGACGCCAGCTTCCAGGCCCGCGGGGGGCGGGCGCCCGTCGCCCTCAGCCCCTCCCTCCTTTCTCCGCGTGCTCTCGGCGGTCCCCTCCGTCCTGGTCGCTTCGCCGCCCCTGCGATTCCCGCCGCTCTCGTCTCCCCCAGCGCGGCCTCGCTGGGCCTCCGCTGCTCCCGCGCCGAGTGCCCCTACCCGAGCCCCTCGCTCGGGCGCGCCAGCTCGCCCCTCTGGGCGCCGGGGCTTGGGTCTGTCCGGGCTCGGGCTCCGAGAGGGCTGTGCGGGGGCGC